CTTAATCTTTCACATAAGTATAAACTACATCTCCAGAATTTCCACAGAATGCAGTTATATAATTACAAGTGTAAATGCAAATTCTCACACTATGAGTCAGCCATGATATACTGTAAAACACATTCCTTGAAAATGAACACAGTCCCTAATGGTGTTTTATCACTCTTCCACCTACAGCACACACCAATGTATGATCTGGTTGACTGACTAATGCTATGCATGTGAGGATAATAAAAACAGGAATACAACTAAAAAGTTAAAGGTGATCGAAAAATCCCTGTGCACCTGCTAATAGTAAAAATGGTCAAGAGTAAATGTTAAGTATCACAGATGCATCAGGATTTTTTTTTTCGAACACACTGTATAGTATATAAGAATGAACAGAGCGAGTAGGAACAGGATGGGTCAGGTGATCAAACTGGTGGATTCTGTGCATGGGAGGAATTGCCTGTAAACTACGACATCCGGTGAGGTGAGGTCACGTTACGCACAGTACACCATTCTACTGGGAGTGTTTTATATGTATTCCCTGATCTTCCTAACGTGTACAATCCATTAAATAAGATTTACTGGGATTAGTAGTTAAGATTTGTGCGCTATGGAGACAATATAAATCACAGTTACATCAGTGATAATATTTCTCTATGACAAATCCTTTCAATCATACAAGACAGACAGGTCTCCCATCCTAATCTCTTATCCAATCTTATGGTCTAGTAAGATCAGCAGTTTCATACAATAAAACAGTTCAGCTGCACGAAGACCACACGGGTACAGATGGTCTGCAGACACCAATAGTGTGTGTGTGTGTGTGTGTGTGCATTAGTCATAAAATATCTTTGTTAATGGCACATAATTTATTTCCCATAACAATTCAGCAGTGTTGGTGGTATTGATGGGAGGTAATGGTGATGGGGGAGGTGGTGGTGATGGGGTAAGTGGAACTGGTGGCAGGGAGGTAGTGGTGGTGATGGGAGGTACTGGTGATGGGGGGTAGTGGTGATGGGGGAGCTGGTAGTGGGATGTATATGAAAGGTCAATACTGTGGTCTCTTGACCTTTAATAGAGGGATGATGTACTGATGGCCCACACATATGCATCAAGTTTAATTAAATTACCTTCAATGGTTCAAACATTACTGATGTACAGGCAACCCCACCGTATACACAGCTGTACAGTAATGACAGGCAATGTACAAATCAATCTGTATGTAAAAATAAAGTCAAATATACCTTTTCCTACACTGATAATACATCAAGTACTGGTAATGCTGAAACTTTCCCAAATATTTAAGCTACTGTCTGTAAAAATCTATAACACCCATTAAATTTTGTTATTAATTCATAAACAAGCTGGTTTCCTCCTATAAGTTAACTGTATGCAAACTGAGAGTAATAATAATATGAAAAAAAAAGAGACCTATATAGACCAAAGGCTGTTTACCAGGAGGAAGCCTTCAATACATTCAAAAAATGAAAGCACAAGATCACACACCATTCAGTCTTGAACTGTGGATTTAACCAAAATATCTCAATAATTATGGACAGGTACAAACACCTAACAGCCCATAACAAAGTTATCAATTTTGATTAGAACTCAAAGTAACCAGAAGAGTACAAACATCCTCCTCACTGTCTCATGTTAAGACAATACAATTCAGAGGTGACTGACAGATTATCCATAACACATAGTGAACAAAGGCTGCACAATCTTTACATAAAGTTCACAATGCCTTTGGCTCGGTAAGCTGAGCACAATGGGTAAAAGAAAAGAAAGACTTCCAGAACCACTAAACATATAGTAGGAATCTGCAAGATGATTGGAGGACAATAAATAAAATATAGATGCAAAAGGATAAGACAGAATACAGGTATTAGAAAAATAACCATCTTTTTAAACAAAATTGAGGAGTGTACAAATATCTGGCCAACACCCGTGTATCACTGCTTCTATACACGATCAATAGCTACTGATCTAGTTCTATAATAAACTTGATTTTTATTTCATTCAAAAAGTCATTAATTTATAAACACTAAGGTGTGGAAGACTTGTCAGTATTCTTTACGTTTCAATATTAGTCCTGTTATCTTTAAAATACAAGGGGAGGGGGTATTAAAACAGAGTATTTACACTGCTATCACACGTCTTATGCATATAGCTAAATTTTCTCCAACCTCACGTTTCATTACAATACAGTACTAGGTACACTGTCTATCACAACAGCACACATATTACCAGTACCTGTACTATTAATATACCATCATATGTATTAATTCCTGCCATGTATATTATGCACAGTGGCTTGATAACTGCAGTATTATGTTCATCTTTGTTTCAAGATTAAAATTTTAACACACTTAAACATCAGCCTTAGACTTTTTACTTTAGTGTGTGTTAAGGCCACTCAGTAACTGTATGGTAAGGCCTTTATCTGCAAGAGTCACCCACCATACTGCTTGATTCCATCATCAGTTACTAAATATTAATTACAGCCACCAGAGGAATGGCTCACCCCTTTCCCTATCTTGAGACCTGTGACCTTAACCTCTGACTGCATGACCATCAAATATAAGCTTTTTCCTCTACCTATAAAGGCACTGTGTATGAAGTTTTATTGACCCTTTAAACATGAACGTTATTTCATTTCCACGATACATTTTCTCAGCCAAAATCTGTAAATGACAGATGACAACTGGTCCTGAGACTCGTTCGTAAGTGATTGTTTATAAGTTCAACTTTACTCTTGTAAATACCGAACATGTTGTAAAAAATAAATATAAAATAATGGATTTTCAGTAGTTATACCCTACAATACAGCCTTAAAACCTGGCTCACTCTCCTCTTGGGCAATGAACAGTATGTTGTCTGGAATTTTCTTCAATATAATTCAGTTGAATGTTTGTAAGTAGAGGAGCACCTGTACTTTTTATCAAGTTAAAACCATAACGTTTCCATATCTGGCATTATCATTCCAGAAAAACATCATCTGACAGCTGGGGGGAAAATATGAAGATAAAAATTGAAATGAAGCATTTATGAATTCCCCATTTGGCTATAAATATTAGCCAAAACCATACCAAATGTTGTAAAAAATCTTAAAAAGCATTACTGGCATTCAAGACAAAATACAGTATAATGATTTTATCCTCAACGTGAGGAAAAGTTTCCCAACAAATGTTTTGTTTTGTGTCTAGTAAACTAAACAGTACAGTTACTTAATTATATTTGTACTATGGTGTAAAAATAATATCGAGAATTGATAGTGAAAAAAAAGAAAAAAAAATGTAGTTTCAAATATAAGCTAAGCAACCACGAAACAGCCAACTTGTAAACAATATCGGACACAGTGTATATATTATCGTAGCTCACTATATATTTATCTATCCAATATAATAAGCAACCCACACTTATAAAGCATACCTTGACATTATAACATCCATAACTTATCTCAATAATGGTGAAAATAAAGTAAAAATGAGAAGAGATAAACATGTCATTGTGTGGGTGGTGGCGAGCAGCTGAGGTGTTTAACACCCTATAGCAACAGCTATGGACTCTGTCAGGCAGGAGAGGGAGTGCTGAGGAGCTCTCTAGCGAACACCACATTTACTGATACAGTATTTATATTGTATATGACAGCAGTCCAGAGGGTTAAAGTGCCCAGAATAAATCTAGAGTTATTGTACAGACATTATTGTCTCTATAAGCTGATGGATGGATGTCATGATGGCTGTATCCCGCCCTAAACTAATTCAGTTGGGAGGATAATATCTAAATGTGATTTACCAAAAAATCAATATTTTCTTCTTGATAGTCTCTAGTACATACAGTACTGTACTGTACTACTCCTGTATGTGATCTTGCACCTCTTACTGATCAAAATGTATAATATCTGGGGTCACACATCATCAAGTGATAAACTCTATTGTACATTTTTTATACACTAAAAATACATAAATTTCATATAACTACGAATGCAGTTACTGTACTACTATTAGTATATGTAAACAGCTACACCTACCCAACTATATCAGTTCAACATAAAAAAAATATATCACTTACGAGATTAAACATTCATCAGTTAGTTATAACAATAATCACAGCACATGTTGTTCATAACAATACATCATACCACTGAACTGTACTGTACTGTCTTGTGTGTCAGTGCTTGTGTGTAGTAAAAACCCTGAATATTACATACTGTACTATACTTAATATAGGGGGGTGTTTTTCTTCCCTCCTGGGATTTGCAGTGTAGTTCCCATGGACTAATCCACAGCTCAGTACTGTCCCCATCCCAGCACATGGTGACACAGTATTAGCAGCGTGAGAAAGTAACTGTGTGGTCAATGATGGTTTTTCTTGTGACTCACTTGTTTATTTTATTATTAATGCAAGTCTACAATAAACATAACTTTAAACTTTTGTTCTAACTCAATTTACTTTTCATTAGGAAGTATTTCTGGTATTCCAGGACATACCCTGCATCATGTAACATTACAGTACTGTACAGTGTAGGGGTGCAGGAGAATACTACCAACAGTGAACACGATCTACACACATCAATATCTTATTCAAGAGTTTTTACTGTGTGTATACTGGCATGGTGTATATGAACTATATGTACTATTTTTTTTCCTCACTTGCACACACTTGTAATATGTGTGTGTGCTCAACTCACAACATAATACCCATTTTCTACATTGTTCAAAAGGTTTAAAGAATACTACTGTAATCATAAGACTAAATAAATGTGATTGAAGTCATAATAGCAATGTGTAGTCAGACAAGCTCAAGAACCTCAAACTTAATAAGAATCCCTAAAACATGAAAGTGAACATTCCAAAGAAAAGAAAAAAAATCTTATAAATGCAAACAAATAAATTGACTTGAGAAAATTTAAAGTTGAAGTTATCAACAAACTACACACGATAATTCTCCAAACACTACGATACTACACAACTACTAAACATTCCCGAACGTTGTGGAGGAGTCTTTACCTCAACAGATGAGTTGAATTTGTGGATGTCGGTGACGGCCAGACCACTTGACTCCCTCCCACCTTCAAAGAATGGCAGGTTTCCAGTAGCAAGACCACTTCCACTGCTACTGAACCCATTAGGGGGTGGTGAGGATGATGCCAGCCACTTGACTCTTTGTTGATGCTGCCACTGTTGCTGTTGTTGGTGGTGCTGCTGCTGATGATGCTGTCGTTTCTCTATTTCTAAACGCATTAATGTGTGGATGAAATGTGTACGCACACGAATTGGATTAAATTCTATCCTGCCATAGGCATTACCACAGCCTTCTCGAGAACAGCCACAGGGGAAGTTGTGTCGGTCAACCTGCAAAAGAGGAATAATACATAGGGTAACAAAGTTTGCTTTCAGACTTAATGAACAACTTATGCTATTTTCAGTGAAGCACTGGAAATACCTTAAGAAGCAAATATATACATTGTATATTTCTTAATACTTTTTTTTGCATATCTTCCTGTCATCCAACTTCAAATCCTGAAAGAACAATGATTGTACCAGTAAAGTTTGATAGATAGTTGGCTCAATTTCTACCAATCACCTTGACTAAGTAACTACAGTCATTAACTACATGTAAAGTATTTGTATTAACAACATTAAAACTAAGAACAGTACAGGAGTTAATTTAAGACCGTAAGTGTTTACTGACCTGACATTTGATCCCAGCTTCAGCACACTGGCAGGTGTCAGGGTCACAGTACACTTTACACTGACACCCACACATTTCTCGTGAAATCCTAATGTCTTTACATTCCTCCTTCTCCAGCCCTTCAATATGACAGATTCCAGCCTGACGTAAGAGGGCTCGTCGCTGACGGATTGGTAATGGCTGAGGATAAATAGACTCGATGAACCTTTGAAGTTTCTGTGAACCTAAACCAATAACAGCAAATAAAGAGAGTCACTGGACAGTAAATGAAGTAATTTTAAACTGGATAAAAACAATGACTAGAAATTAACATCCGAAGAAATACAAAACTAAAAAATGAAAAAAAAGTGATTAACAACTCACCAAGAAACTCATTTCCACTACAAAAACACAAATGTTTTTATTTACAATTCTTTAAGACTTCAAGTTATGATTTATGATGGCCATAATCAGGAGCAAACATCGGCCCTTCATTTGCTCTCATTCATTTCTATGCTTACTACTATAACAAATGTTACTTACAGTGGTGCTCCCCTTCTAACACAGAACCCCAAGATATCTTAGACTTATCCCTGTCACTTCACACAAGATAACATCACATTCATTCTTATAAACAACTCAATTATATGTTTTCTGGTGTCACACACACACACACACACTTCTTTTACCAATCTGTCACTCCCAATTCTCTAAATTAGACCAATAACATCAAAAAACCCCAGCTAGATTCTCCAATACCTCTTAAGTTATTCATGTCTAATTTCTGTATTTCTTCTTTGCATATAAGTCAAGAACATCTGATTCTTTCTCCCAATCTAGAGTCCATGCTTCACACCTCCAGTATATAGTTAATAATATCAGCTCAAAGGTTCCCCTCGTGACACAGTCTCCGTATACTTCTCAATGCACCTTTAACTTTCGTATCCTGCAATAATCTCATTCGTCACCACCAAATGCTCTGTACAGACCAACACAACCTAAGATGTTATATCTCGCACTTCTAGCATTGTGTCTCCCTGCAAACTAAAATCTATTTCACAATTTGCCTTCTTTAATTATTTTCATTACATTACTTTTATTCACACTTACAGTCAACTTTATCCAAAATCATCCACAATTACAACTTGTCTTCAGAGTCTAAACACTGAAGGACTAGGTTACTCGACTGTACTGTACCTGTAGAAAATAGTAGGAGTCGGCATCCAATTCCGAGTCAGAAAGGTCGCTCGCCTCCTCGCTATTTTCTTCACTGTCCTCTGAACTGCTGCCACGACTGCTGCTGTCTCTCCGCTCCTGTTATAAGACACGAATGCTGTACTGAAGAAACTTAAAAGAACAGTACCTACATGTTGACTGTTAATGTCTCTCTATCAGAAATATATCTTGTTCCATATTATCTTATTCTTACATCTTCCAAGCTTTTTACTTGTATAATAACAGTACATGTCTCTGGAAAATAATGAAAAGGTAAAACATATTTCTGAGCCACCCCCCAACCCCCACACAAAGTAGACTTTCACGTTTCTCCATTATGTGGTATGAAAGAGACAAAAACTTTCGTCCAAGCAGACTTACAACTTTAATGTTTAATGCACGTGAACTTCATGGTGTACAGTACTGACCCGTGCTGACCGCTGCTGTCGTAGCCTCATGAGATACTCCCTGTGCGCCCGCCTCTGTTCTACGGCGTGTTCTGCCAGGGAGAACTGACGAATGTGAGAGTGTCTGCGGGACATCCCTAATGAAGAGCCACCTTGAGAAGGAACACAGGTGAAGCCCTGTGACCGCGGAAAGTAGAAAACCGTCACACCTTCAAACTGGATGCCTCGTTTACACTTGGGCGGTGTAGCTTCTGAAAATATATAAAAATATTAAGTTAATATTAATGCAATATATCTTTATTTATATCCATAGAATCTTCATTGTGTTGCGACTCAACTTTAATGAGAACAAGCCTATGATGAAAATAATTACAACTGTTCGTAAACTATGTTGGAATTGCAATTACAAGGGACAAGGAAAGTAATATAGCTACAGTGTGTTTCAGTTACTGTACTGTACAGCACTGCCTACAGAGAGTCTACCACAAGGACCTTTGCCCCTTTCCTCTAGTATATATATCAACACAAACTAAATGTATATGGCCATGGTTACATAAAAGGAGGCTACAGTATAAGATGAGACATTACCATCTACATCTACTGTACCAAAAGACATAAATCAGGAGTAAGCTTTCACGGTGATAAATTTATGGAAAGGGGCAAATTAGGGACCAGAAGCTCCAGAGGTTAAATTCCTCTCATTCCTAAATCACTATAAATATTCTATGACAAGAAATCGCATTTACGTGTGTGTGTATATATCGAGAAAGTAACCGAACAAAAGAGTGAACATGTGGCCAGTGTGTGTGTTATTGAAATGACCATAATTAGCATGGAAAAGAACTCTACAGGCTAATGGTACAACAGTAGACCTTTGCATACTGAACTAATTCATGCAGAGGGGGCTCACTGTTGGGAAAGTTTTCATTAAGAGGAACATGTGCTTTAGTGTAGTGGTGGTTCTGTGCTCAACTAACCATCATGATGATTTTTTGTGGGTGGCACTAGACACACATCCCCCCCCCCTTTTTTTTAACCAAATAAAGAAATTAATCCTTTGTACAGAAATTTCCCTTAAGGTATTTGGCTCTTTGATGTTATTACAAATTATATTACTGTATATCTTTAGAAGACTGTTGCCTTGACACTTTAATATTTTATCCTTATAAAGTTAAATTACTCTTAAAAAAATATATAGAATTCAGTATACAAATAAATATAGCAAATGTTATAAATTTATATGCACTTACAACACAGGTTAATGGGCCCTTATACCAAATAAATCAATAACTACTTGTGTAACACCTTCAGAGTTGTGAACCTACATCACTCTCATACAGTCTTGTAAACACTACTATATACTGTACAGTCATATAAGGTTTTATCCCCCCCCACACTGCACAACCAACAGTGTAGTGTAGTGTCACAACTGGCAAACCTTGGAAAAACCTCCCTTACAATACCTCAGGTTTATACAGTTTCTTTGTGGTGATTCTTTGCAGCATACAATGGTAGAGAAGAATAGTAATGACAACACTGTGGGTGCTTCTTCCATGGGCAAGGGAGCACAGGCATGCACTCTCTGAATTTAAAGTTGCTTGCCAGGACAACATGGTTAATGTAGTGTATGTACATGAGGCTTTCCTACCATTCTCGGCCCAAAACACTGAAGGATTGGGAGGACCATACTGTACCATTGAGAGTACACACTAAGCTGTTTATGTGGCTAGACTGACACTTCAAAAACTAATCAGTGAACTGTACTGTCTTCATTTGGTTAATAAATCATCATATCACTTAAAGATATTTGTTATTTTCACATTGCCTATTTGTTTGGAGATCTTATTTGGGTGAATTTTATTTGTCAGTATTACAAACGCATCTAGGTGGTGAGGTGTTTTAGACTGCTGGGAGGTGAGGTGTTTTAGAGGTCTAGGAGTGTATGTTGTCAGCAAGCGAAATAATGAGTTATGACGTGAACCAGAGTAGTAGAGTACCACAATAGGAAAGATAGTACTGTACAGTGTTTATTTCCCACTCCTACAAGCCTTTTCTTGCCATGATATAGGATTATAGGTAATAATCCTCTGCCTCTTAACCTTCATCAACTAGTAAGTAATGTTGGGAGTAGCTAGTGACACTACATTTAAGAGTAATTCCAAATGATAATTACAATTCTTACAATGTTTTATTTGTGGCAGGGCATACATTAGAAAACTTCACAGCAACTTGCTAGAACATGTCTGATCACTACTTTTCCAAATGTATAGCTGTACAGTAGTGCTGCTAAATTTTGGTCCAAGCACCGGTTATGGTAAAGCTGTCATTTTCAGGAGGTAGATAGTGCACACAACACTGTTAGCAGGTCACCTCACTATCATAGTAAGTTGTCAGTTCATCAAGAGGTTGTTCTACTAATAAATTTACCAGAAAGTAATCAAATTTTTTTGGCGAGTTATGATTTTCAAGATCCTATAGAAAATTTCCTTTCAAGTTTCACCAGTAACTATGTCTCCTGGTGTAACTCCGTACAGTGCACTACTGGGATATGTTCTGGTTTAGGTTACACAGTTCTTGATATTATACTTGAATAATAATGAATCTCACTAACTTCTGATAATATTGTCATCATCCTGCCTGGGGTTAGATCCATTATGTATTAAGACACAACGATCATGCAATGGTCATCTGTTCTTAACAAAAGTCAACTAATGTTTCTCCAATGCCACTTCTATTATTTAATCCATGTGGTCCTGCCTCTTTTCACCTTCTCAACCTCAGCATTAAAATCACCCATAAATACTGAATTCATTGAAGTTCACAGGTTCCTTTGTTTTATTTAAATCTTCAAAAATTTTTACAAATGTCCTCCTCCCTATCTTTAATTGGTACAGAATTCTTAAGGTTTAGAGGCTACCTATTAAAAATGAAATCACAGCTGTGCTTAAATTTTCTGAGGATTATCATGGAAACAGCTTTATCTCGGCTTGTGTTAGCAGATGAAGAGAGTGTCAAGTATGTGTAAGTTCTGTAAAGGGGACCTGAGAGATGAAACTTATATATGAATACCTATAACAATTTAGATGGTGTAGATCGAAGTCCTGAGGAAATGATTGGACATCTGTATCAAGACTTGAGGAAGGATTCTTTTATTCTTCAACAATAATTCAGTCTTTGTTTTCTTTTGAGATTTAAAGATCCAAAGAAAATACCATACTGAACAATTAGCTAGCTGTGAAAACTAATGGTACAAAAAAATGGTCTACCAGCTGTTCCAACTCACAATTACATGTACTGTGCTAAACCCTGAAGACCACTCACACAACCTAGCTACAGGCTGGGGTCCAGGGCCCACCTTGAGGCACAAAGGTCAACGGATTTTATATGGGTTGTGGTGTTTTTTGGGCATACTTATAAATTTACAAACTTGAATACTGTACCTGTACCTGTATAATAAGTAAGACTTTGTGGTAAATGTGTTAAAATAAGTACAGGTAGCCACATGTTTCACAATACTATACGGCTTAGTCTTCTTTTTTTATTATGGTTTACACGATTCACAGAAATAACCATTCTGAAATTAAAAATACTAAACATGCACAAAATATGCAAATCAGTTACCAGTAGTTCATGGGGAAATTCTCAGGTATAGTGAGCGTATAAATTTATAGCTTTAAGAATAAACCAATTCCCAGTTTTTTGACAGTATAAAATTGTCAGTTTTTAGACCATCAATTGTAAGTTTGATTATTGTCAATTCCCAGTTTCTGACTAACAATTCAAATTTCTAGACTGTCAATATACAGCTCCAAGATAGTCAATTCTTTTCTATAACTTAACAGTATCAATAAGATTTTTAGCGATGCTGAAATAAAATCTATCTAGATATTACAAACATATTTCTCTGTTATTAATACCACAAAATATTCTCAGCAAAAAATAGTTTATTGAGGAAAATTTTAATCCCAACACATGTAAAATTCTAAGTTTCTGTAAAGTGTCTTTTTTGCAATACAATAATGTATATGTATTAAAATAGTGATATAGAAATTACTAAGCTCTGTATCTGTTGTTTTGTGGCTCAGGAACTTGAAATTTTCAGTATAAAACCTAGATTGTTTAATACAGTATTCCAACAGTTTTCACTTTATTATTACAATATGAACACATGAAAACACTGCAGGCATTGTGGCCTTCGTGTCGAGGATGATCAACACAACAGTATACCCAGACTCACCTTCAGGTTCCTCACTGGCTTTCCTCTTCAAGCTACTTCTTCTCTCCAACTGGTCGGCAGAACCATTAAAAACAGGATTTCTTGGCACATTAAACTCCTCATCTATTACATAATCCCAATTTTGCTCCGTATCACTCACACTGTCCTGATGCATACAACCGTTTTCCCCCTGGCAGGCAGCACTGTGGTCGTGGTCTTCGCTATAGCAAGATTCACCAGCTTCCGAGTCTGTGTCTCTTATGGCGTCCAGGTCAATCCCCAGCCCGCCATTCACCCCATCTTTAGAAACAGTCTGACCATTCTGACACACCAACGGCACCTTTGTTTCGTGGTCCTTCTCTGTTAATATCGAATGTTTACACGGCTCATCGTTAATTTCTAAGACCGACTCCGTTCCCTCAAACTTATTACCTACTGGTATTTCTAATTCCCACTCATCGTGTTTACCAATAGGTATTAATTTAATTCCAATATCTCTTTTATTTTCACAATTTTTATCACTGTCTTTCTCATTCCCACAACTGTCTTCAGGTGGTAATTTTTCTTCACCATTTGTCTTTGTTTGACAATTTTTCTCAGTGCCTTTCTCAGTTTCACAATCTTTGTCAATGTTTCTCTCACTTTCATGCCTATTCTCACTCTCTGTCTCACTATTCATGTCATCTCTAACCTCATCATTTTTGTCATTCGTTCCCACCCTATTTACTGTCACTACGGTGTCATCACTTGTATCATTACTACTGTTACTTATACAAGTCTCTGGTTCTGCCAGTAATGGCTCTTTAACACAGGAAGAAACATTCTCCTCAGCTGTGTCCACACGACCTCTCAACTCTGCCATAGGAGCAGTACTATTTGTAGCATTTTGACATTCTGAGGCATCTATATGAACTTCTTCAGTTTCACAAAGAATAACTTTTCTAATATCATCAGTGTTTTTATCTTTCAATGTTTCACTCTTTATCTCAAGTTTGGTGGGATCACAGCAGTCACTGTCTTTATTGTCATCACAATAGTCATTCGTCTCATTATCACATTTTTCTGGAGATGAAAATATGGTATTTCCCATGCCACTATCACTACTAACACAACTATTTAAATCTGAAGAACACGGATTATCGGAGGGCTCTTGTGCTGGTTCTGCCCTGTCCTCAACGGTGCCCCCAGCCTCTGAGGTGCTGCTGTGTGGGCTTCTACTGGTCTCTTGCTCCGACATAGTAGATGCCTGTTAGAGAATAAACAATCTTATTACAACCAATACAATATCTAATGACAAATATGATTAAATTAATTACAATAATGAATTTTGTTAAGATTAAGTGTACTAGATATAACAAGTCTCGATATAAAGTACCGTACTCAAGCCTTAACAAAAGAATGCCATACTAGAGGACTGCACCACACCCTTGAGGAAATTTCCCCATAGATAAAAGGTTAATAGTCTAGAAGACCGTCATGGTGGATGGAGCTGGTCAGTCAAAGCAGATCCACATTCAAGATGAAACTCAGAAAAAACACAAGTAAGAAAGTTGTAATTCTAAAAGTAAAAAAAAAGTTTTATTTTAAAAGTATATAAATTTTCCCGTAAGTTGCTCCATGTAATGAGTCGGTTACCTTCACTATAAACGCTCCCCCCCCCCCTCAACGTACCTAACTGTGTCACATGAAGATTAGGCACCCCAAATGCAAATCTAATCCCCCCCCAGTAGTATTTAACTAAGTGGCTCATACAAAGTTAAGGTAATTAATGTGCAAACACTAGCATATATACGATAAAAAAACCGAATCTAACTGTACATACGCCCACACACAGACACACGCCCACACACAGACACACGCCCACACACACGCGCACCCCCCCCCCCACACCCACACACACAAGGTAAACACCAGTTTCCACTTTCCCCGCCTTGGTTCACTACATGACCTTGTTTACTACGAAACCACCTCGGGCTTTCTGCTTCCTTCACGTTCACTCACAATGTTCCCAGACAAATTTCATAGCAAATAATATTGGGTGAGAAGCACTTGACGAAGGTGCCAACAAAATAGTTCACTACAACAACATTTTTCCACAAGGCAACACCGAGAGCTTCCTCCCGCTCCAAAATCCATATGCGTGTGTTGTCTTCACGGCCTCTTGTACGTCACCACTGCCATCACGACACAACCACAACGTCTTACTCACTTCTTAAGATCATTTCTGTCTTAATTACATCCTATTAAAGGAATGTGAAGTTGAGGAAACGGCATTGCTCCCTCAACCTAGTCCTCCAGTCCGTGTTTTCAGTTACACTGAACTTACTCCTACAATGTCCTAAAGCTCCTCTCTAAAGTAGCTCTGTAAACATCAACATTTTATAACAATGTTCAACAAAATATAAAATCAACAAATAATAATCCTCCCTATAGTATTTTAAAGGATAAAATGAGATCGTAGCCAATTAATGAGCAATAAGAAATAGGAAATACAGAAAATATTTATCAATGAAGTCGTGTCAACACATACGAACACCCATCAGATGACGGGCCCATCCTGTGACGTCATAGCCGGGCGGCCAATCAGCATTGAGATATTTTGACGCAACAAACCAGAATTCGTTGTGAGAATTGCAATAATTTGTCCTTTAAATAAGTATGATTTCCAATGAAGACTGATAAATTCTAGAACGCAATTGCCATATGACTACTCAGTTTGTCACTATATATTCTAATATGATACACTGTGGAGTTATTTCGTGTAACTCATTTATTCTATCAATACAATACCTCCATTATCTTTTTTATCATAAATTTAATCACAATGAAACAAAATTAGAACCATCCGCACCGGCCATTGTGGTCAGGTAAGTCACTACAGTAATTTATTAAACGATAATATTGATACTGAATAGCCCACAAGAATATCATAATAAAATATATATAAATAAAAAAGTAAATATAAACATTCACTCAATAGTCGTCACGAATAATAGGATTTAAAGGTCCTGTGAGGACGAGAGCCTCCTGTAGGGTTTTAACTCCACAAGGTGCAGTATCAAGGCTCAGCCATCAGTTGCCAACCCCGCCAATTATTGAAAGCATTTACCTCCTGATAACTGCCATCATTCACAAGACAAATAACTCTTCTAAAAATAGAACACAACCCCCCCAGCTGCCTGTCACCTCCCCTGATGGCTATATTAGCAAGTGACGGAATGAATTAATTTAATATAACTTCACACGGCCGTCGAAATGGTAGTCTCGTCCATCTGGGAAGGTTAGGTGTCTCTGCCTTCACAAAACTAACTACTAATACCCCATTCTGGTCACGTTCGTCTCTCTAACAGCAAAACAATCACGACCCATACTAACAGTCTACGTATGGCTGGGATTATCACCAAGGCTCTGGGTGATAAGTGTTGAACCAAAACACCGCGCCGCCGATAATTTCCAAATTTAAACCATAGCGTGATGCAGCGATGACGCAATAATGGATGTGGTGCAGAATATGAGGGCCGCACCACACACACAATGGCGTCTGAGGATGATAATGGTAGTAGTGGTTTGTGGTGGTGATGGTGGCTGCGTGCAAAAAATAACTAAACAGTGACGTATGTTTATTTGCGCATAACAGAACTCACAAGCATTCCGGTACCCGCGCGTCATGTGACTCACTAACTCATCTCACCCCCCTCCCCAAACCCACGCCTCTTGTCTTCTCCCCCGCCAGGACCGCGCAGTATTCACCTCCCCCTCCGTCCCTCTGCCTCACCCCCCATCAACAATCAAGCATAACTCCCCTCCTCCTCCACCCACGACCTGCCCCCTCACTTACTACCCTCTGACTCCACCGTTATCTACCCCCTCTTCCTCTCCCACCTTCCAATCAGCGTACATCATCCCTCATTCCATTATAAATACACACGTTAATAAAAGAATAATCCTCCGCGTCTAGCTGACTACACCGACAGAGTGAGTGAGTTTCCATCGATAAGTGAGGTCGACATTCTACTCACGTACACTCCATTGTTTCTTAAACATTCGTATTTGAACTAATTATCCTACATAAATGTTAAATGAATGTAAATTTTGTAGGACAATTTTACTATCAATATTTATGTATCCTGAGAGAGCTATCATTGGTTGAAACGACTTATTATTAGTCTAAATATGAATCCTTTGTTTATGTTCTGTCGACGTCAAAATTCCCTCAACATTTTGACAATAAAGCGTCATCTATTTCAGGGTCATGTTGGTAAGGTGATTGTGGAATATTATTAACACTATTTACTCGGATTTTATTTATTTTTTGTTATAGAGGGACTTTTTTATCGTGGTTTTATATTAAGGTAATTAATTTATAAATGAGGGGCAGCCTTGAACTAATTGGTCGATCACGCGGAGTTGCCAGATGTTGTCAAGAATCCAGGGAGTTTTGTTCGGATTTTGTACATGGCTGAATTACTGTGGATTTGTACGTTGAATTTCATCATCTATCTATCTATCTATCTGCCCAAAACGAGACATAATAACCACCCACATCCACACAAGACCACCCATATCCGCTTTTCTACTACCCACACAATACCACCCACATCCGACCCAAGACCCTCTATCTATCTTTCTCTTATTCTGTCTCAATCTGTCTGTGTTTGGTTATCTGTTTCTTTGTCCCTCCGCCTCTCTCTCTCTCTCTCTCTCTCTCTCTCACGGCCGGATTCACTTCCCAACAACCAATTACAGTCATTAGGGAGGCGAGGACCCAATTCGAAATGTAGCGAATTTGCGTTACGTCATCAACCAGGTCACTAATCACTCTTGTGTGGGTCGTAACCTTCCTTATGGTCGTGTGTGGGGTTGGGTCACATTGGGTTCACTTTCCCCTCAGTTGGGTTCTATGGGGTTAGGGATTCATTCGGTTGGGTTCGTTTGACAGGGTTTCATTTCTCTCTCTCTCTCTCTCTCTCTCTCTCTCTCTCTCTCTCTCTCTCTCTCTCTCTCTCCGGGGTATAATAATGTACTAGAACAGTGCCAAAATTAATGGAAGTCTTTATCCGAGCCAAATTGAGAACGATAGTAATTTTTTTTTGTAGTAGTAGTAGTAGTGTGAGCTCACGAACGCTGGGAAATTCTTAACGAAAAACACAAATAAAAATCTTTCTCGAATGGTCCAAATATTATCCCCACGAACACGATACGAATTCTCTACTAACGCTTAAAATGTCAATAATCGTACGGTCAGTTTGCGAAAGTTCTCTCAATAACCAGATTTAAGCAGCGACCATCACAAATATCCACGAACGCATTGGATATAAACAGACTTACAGTACCACCTCACGAACGACGGACGAATCCACACGAATGCGAATTATTTAAACAAAACAGATTTCAATCTCACGAACGACGCCATAACCAACACGAACGTTGCTAATAAAACCCAAATAGCAATTCCAAATATACGCACGAAATACGCAAACTCACGAATGGGGGAACAGAAGAGACGCGTGTGGTGGGGTTAATGGCGGAAAGCGTGTGTATTTTGTTATGGAGTCTTGCCCTTGGTGGACCAAACTAGACTGTATTGATCAGCCTGGGAGATGCGGCTTTACCCTTGGTGGGGGGTCTCAGGGGAGGAGGACTTCTGGAGAAGTAGGAGAAAAGTTGAGAGGGAGAAAACAAGGTAGTGCTGGGAGAGAGAACAGTGGCAGATGTGTAAGGTCAGAGGGCGTGCAGTGGCTCAGTCGTGAAGGAGGAGAGAAGGAAGAGGAGAAACTAAGAAGAGACGACAAGTGCAATTTGCCGGGGAGGGACAAGGAGGTGGAGGGCGAGATTGGAGGGTTTAAGCTAGGGAGGCAGAGGAATAGGTTGCCCTTATCTAGTACTGGAGAGGAAGGAAGGGTGTTCACTAGTGCTGGGGAGGGTCAGAGGTGCTTACTGGTTCTGGGGAGGGGGTGTTCACTCAAGGCTACTGGGACCCTTGTTTACTGAATCAGCTGATGATGTATGTATGCACTGCTACCACCCTGCTGGTTGTTGAAGCACTGTGGGGTGAGGTGAGGAGGGTGGGGTGGGGGGGTGAGGGGAGGAGGGTGGGGAGGAGGTGGGGATGAGATGGTGGGGTGGGGTGGGAGGGTGGGGTGGGGAGGGGGTGGGGTGGGAGTGAGAGGTGGGGCAGTGGGAGGAGAGGTGGGGTGGGAGGAAGAGGTGAGGTGGAGATGGATTTGAAGGTTGAAGGCAATTAGG